TCACATCTCAAATTTCAGGTAACCTTACCCTCTGCACACCTTTAAAGATTTTTCACGTTATTTCCTTTTCTCCCCATTAACAAAGTTAGAGTTTTTCTGCCACTTTACTCTCTCAAATGCAGCTTGGTGATAAACCTGTATTTTTCCTGCCCAGTTCAAAAAAGCACCATTAAAGTTAATGCATTTCAGGCATGAGGGCAACCAGAGAAGGGATGAATTTCTATAAGTCTTTGGTCTTTTTCTCACTCTCTTTTGCAATGTGAAACTTAAAGCCATAACAACAAATATAAAGAAAATTGGCTTTTGTTGTAAACAAGTGTATGTGAGTGTGTGTATATATATATGTGTGTATATTTGTGTGTGTACGCACATCTCATGACAACAAAAGCTAATTTCCTTCGAGAGTGTGTGTGTATGTATATATATATGTGTATATTTGTGTGTGTACACACATCTCATGACAACAAAAGCTAATTTCCTTCGAGAACATCTGTATTTGCAGACTAGGTATGATGTGAACTAACCTGACGTCTTCACAAGTTCCACAGGAATCTCTCTTTAAGCTTGGAGAACTTCTAGGGAGGGAGGTTTTGGGTTTTTTTTAGACATAATTTTGCTGTACTCTATATTGTGGACAGTATTTTTAGGCTTATGCCTTAAACCTTTTTGTTTGTGCATACGTGTGATATTTCTGATTAAAGAAGAAAAAAAAACTAAACCCAGCTCTCAAATACAGCTGTTTGACAGCACATGACTGAGAGAACCAAATATAAATCATTCTCATGCGTCCTTGTTTTTAAAGAAATGTGTACCTAGGAGAGGCCTTATATATATTTTGGTAGTTACTGTCTTCCCCTTTCGATGACTTTAGTGTTAACATCTCTTTGTACTCTTAAGCTACCCATCTCACTGACTGCTGAGTAATATACTTCGAAAAGTGTACAAAAACCTCAAACCCAAAAAATCCACAAAGAAACTTGGTGAATGGATACAGTTGTATAACCAGCATTAGGATCTCTGCTTTTGCTAATGGCAACATCTTTGCTTTAGAAAAACTGTCCTAACTCACCCGTGACAGCAGAAGGACCATATACTACATTTTAATAAGGTACTGGGGTACAGGGGGGCACTGACAGTCATCTTCCTGACTGCTTGCTAAAGTGTCGCATTTAAAGCAAATTTAACAGGGTCCCCAAGCACTTATAAAGGTAAGAGTTACAATACATAAACACATTTGTCTTTAACTGCAGTATTCATGGTTGGCTAAGGTGTATGGGCATTAGTACCACAGGCCCTCGAGTAGCATTTCGGTGGGGTTTTGATGCTCACAGCTGCAATGTAGACTTGCACACAGAGAAGAGTCAGGGTTCGGTCCCACAGCCACCCCAAGGGCTGGCAGTGTTTCCACTGCTGTCAGCGCCCTGAATTTTCACCTGTCCAGCTCCTATCTTAGCTCAGGCCATGAAGTCATCGGCATCTCTTCCATCGAGCTCGGCAGAAACAAATTCACCACCCACCCCAGCCTTGCCTTAGCATTGGGAAGTAAAACTAAACTCCGGCTTGAGATAAACGTCACCTCTCCAAATAGCAAACTCTCAACTGAACTGAATTGCAGGCCCGATTCATAAAGAAATACACAAGCCCTTGTTCATTTTTGGCATTTTATCGATGGCAGGTAAAGCATATGGAGGAAATTCCAGCCATGGAGGCTCTAATTTAAATGGACTGAGGGAAAACCAACCCATGCAGGTACAGCAACTGTGAGGGATTTCTGGGCAAGGCAGGAGGAAAAGAGACTCCCATGGATTTGCCTCATCCAACAGGTGAGTCAGTCACTCCACAACAGCCCCCAACAACAAACTATGAAGCCTGCGATAGCTGGAGGAGTTTGAATGCTGCTTTTTAAACAAAATGCCTGTTTTTTCCCCAGGATCTGAGACACAGTCCTGTTTGCTCTGGTTTGCCACTCATTGAACAGCAGGGGACTCATCGTGTAGCCAACACAAGCGCAGGCAGCATCATCTAAGCTGCCATCTTCACACTCAAGTGGGGCTCAAATGATTTACGAGTTTCCATATGGGGTCAAGCTCTCTAGAAACAATTCCTCATCTTTCAACACAGCTTTTTAAGATGGAAACATGATTGAAAATACACTGAAGCAACTACAATTCCTTTCCATAGACATAATTAAGGTACCCTTTGTTCACCTCAGAGAAGCATCTGCAGTGATGGTGTAGATGTGTAAGGTCGTTCCCTAACAGCTCCCCCCTAGAAATTCATACCAAAATAAATGGCTGAACATTCTTAAGCCTTTGTGATACGAGAAGATGACAACCTCACCCAAGAGCCCAGCTGAGAAGACCATCCACTCAAAATAAATTTGTTGGGATGGAAATCCTCAGCAGAGCAGCCAGAGGGTGCACGGGGATGAGGACTGAGCCTCTCAGGAGTGGAGCATGGGAATCAGGATGCAGCGTCCCTGCTAGGTCCATCCCTGCGTCCGGCCCTGCCTTTCTCACGAGCAACGATACTCGCAGGGATGGGGAGGTTAATGCAACTCATTTTCTGCACAGGGTACTCTTCCTGCAGCACATGTCTTCACAACTGCTCACACGGGATTTGTTTATGAATTGGGCCGTGCTTGCTATAAGGTTTGCAATCAGTATTAAATAAAACAAGGAAAAAAAACCCTCTACAGTAAATGTAGGACTATGAATGGGACTTTAGTTGTGGTCCCAGAGGTAACGTACACAGTATTTTGCTATATTTAACACAGTAAAAAAAAAAAAAGTCTGTATCACTCTAGGTGCCCCTACAGTCTTAATGCATTTCATTAACACCTGTTTTAAGTTGCACAACCAGTTCCCAAGACACCCTCCTGTCCCTCCCCCCAAATAAACTAGTTCTAATAACAAGATAAATATGATGTGCTTCTCCTTGCTGAGTGCATTGACTTAAGGCATAGGCACAATTCCCCTCTTTGAACAGAGATGGTATAGTCCTGTGTCCCAATACAATTGTTATCCTGGGTGACCCTTTGCATTCAAACGTTGACTCAAGACATGGTAATTACAGGAATCATTCATTAACAAATAGTTTGAATTTGTTAATTAATCAGAAAATATTACTGAAATAAAAGTAGATCATGCAATCCTCTTTCTGGAATAAATTTTATGGGAGTGCTGCTTTGTTAGGCAGCAACAAATCTAATCTAAACTCATGGAAATCTTTCCTTTGAGACCAGCCAGTTTTGGATTAAGCTAGAATTGTTCATTTAAAAAAAAAAAAAAAAAAAAAATCAAACCCTGGTACTCTCCAGACCACAAGAAAACACATGGAAATCTGTAAAAAATGGAATGGGCTAAATTATTTCTAAATATTTCTGTCAGCTACATTTTTTTTCTTGAAGATCGCTTGAAGAATACCAGCTTTGCCTAGGTATCACTAGGGATGGGCACAGATCTGACATATTGGCACGAGGCATTATTTTCAAAAGCATCTCAGTGGCTGAGAAACCTTGCTGTCCTCGCGAGATTTACTGCGACTTGGACACTTTTGCAGTAATTAGTACATTTGTTTTTCAAGGATTTTTACATGCACATGGATGCAATTATGGGTCAGAATTCAGTGATCCGGGCCCTTATTTTTCAAAACTTGAACTGTTGAAGTAATGTTACCGGATCAGATTTCACATTTTATCCTGCCCATAAGTGACTCCTGGGCTTAGATAAAGAAAAATGCACCCATGAAGAGATTCAACAACAGAGTTTTTGGGGCTCAAATTCTTGAGGAACCAGCACCCAAAGCCCTTGCTTTCCAGTAATCTGGCTTTGTCACAATCTTTATAAATCCTTAAAAAAAAGTCTGCTTCATTGTCAGCATCTCTGATATTTGCAGTCTCCACCAAATCTACGTGACCTTGGACTGTATATCCTGAAAAGACGGATGACAAAAATTCTGGCATAGCATTAACAGTACACATCTACTTTGTATGAATTTCTCTCTATCTATGGGTAGAATAGGTACTTTTCTCCACTTCTACAGGTATCGATAGACAATGTCCAAATCTTAAATCTTCACACCTTCACATGGTATCTTAAATCTTTTCAGTTAAAGGTGCTAATGGAGAGTATACAGGGTGACCCAGGACACCTGTTAACTGAGGAGGTTCAGGATTTTTCTATTTAGTCCAACTTTCACAATTTATTTCCTTCCAAGAACTAAATGCAATGCCAGTTTTGTTAGCAGAGAGATGACTTTAGGTGAGGGTTAGAGCTGATGCACCACATCTGATAGCACAAGGCACCCTTGGCCACATACTGACAAGTCTCAAACCCCTTCAGAAAAATACATGATTATTCCAGGAAGATCTGAACTTTTCTACTGGCCAAGTGCAATCCATGTCTCCCAACAGGGAGCCATGCTCCAGGTGAAAATTAAGGAGTGTAAATTAACCTCAGGCATCTTGGGTCACTCTGGGTGATGAGTACAGCACATTTGGCTATTTTGTTGGTTTGGGGTTTTTTTCATGCCACTGATTTAATGGTGCAAAAATAATCAGAGATGCTTCTCTTCCCTTTGTATGTTGGTGGGTCTACATCAGTTCCAGGGTCTTGCCCAGCCAGCAATCCCATTGCTCTGAGCACATGATCAAAAACGAGGGGCGATCATTAGACTATATTAATACAGAAGGTCCAGGGGAGCATCAAGTCCAATTCAGCAGATTGCACCAGTAAATTTTGGTGTGGGAAAGAGAAATGCTACACAAATGTAACAGGGTCACCCTGGGATTCCTTGTACTGAAACATCATTTTACACAGAGGATATATATATATTTTATATATATATATTTATATATATATTCACACACACGCGCGCGCACACACAAAAAAAGTCTTTGATAGGCTTTCTGTGTTCTAGTAAAAATAGTTGGCAGCTGCAATCTGTGAGACCAGAACTGGCTTTTGTGCTGCCTGCGATGCCCCACTGCAAATTGTCTCTCAAAGGCAGACGCTTGTATTTATCTGGCAGGTCGAGCTAGCGCCTGCCAGAGACAGAAACAACCTCCCATTGGGACACACACAGAGCTCGTAGATTTTTTGCCTGGACCCTGCAGAAGAGGAAGATCCTTGAGGCAAGTTAGGTAGTTTGATTTTTGCAGAATTCAGCGTTATCTGAAGTCGGAGGCGGGGGAGAGAGAGAAAGAGAGAGAGAGAATTAGTGGAGAGATGTTATTTTTGATCTTGTGTTGAAAGAAGCTTCCTTCGGACAACTTGGCTGCTAGAAAAGCTGGGTAGGCAAGTGTATTAAGGTGGGAAAGCCTGACACAAATCTGGGTGAGCACATGATCTGCCTTCACCATGAGCCACCTAGGACCTCCAGTTTGTTTCTGCTAATCTACCCACCGTGTTTTCTTGGCTTGTAGCTTCCTGGGGCACCTCCGTGTTTGGGTTAACCCAACCAGAGGTGCCTCACTGCTCGGTGGGGAGCGTGTGTGGTTCACGTCTATGCAACAACTCTGCTCCTCCACCGGGACTCCTGGCACTGTGATCCCATTGCCGGTTACGCTTACAGGCTCACAGCACTGACTTTTATGTATATTTTATGTATACATGTAATGCCTTTATGTATATTAAAATAACTTAAATACTGCAACAGACCTGAATTTCTCCTTACAAAACAGAACACAAAAGCAAACCTGTGGCAGCTCTTAGACCCATGGCAGCTACAGGGGAGTGCTCTAGCATTACCAAGAAGAGCACAGTAAGCTACCCTGCACACCAGAATATTACAGGGCGACTGGCAGCATTTGCTCTTATCTTGCAATTACAGTAAGAGTCTTCACTTCAGTTTTAGTACCCAATCATCTAATCTCCTGAAAGAGACAGGTCAATATATGCATTTTAAAAGCAAATTAGTGTTTAAAACATTAAGGTAACTGCTTGCAGCAGTGAGATGCCTTGGATTTCAATTGTAGCATATTAGGTAGGGGTTTTTTTGTACCTTCATTTTTTAATTTTTTTTTTGTTAAATCCCCTCATCTGGGCTTGGAATGCCTTAAAATGCAAACGGTTAGAAATAACAAGAATTGCAACAAGAATCCCATTCTATTTATTACACCTGACACTAAGATAGGAAAACATCAGCTTATGTTGAAGCCCGGTAGCTGGGAGGTTTGCGTTCAATGGGAAGCTCCTCCTGCCAAGGCTCTTGGTGGGCTCCCTAGTGGGAGCTCCTCAGCCACATCCTTCTCTGTCTTCCATCATTGTGGCAGGGGGGGGGGGGGGGGAGGGGGGGGTGGGGGAGGGGATGAGAAGTGTGTGCTTGTGTATTTTTGAGACACCAGAAGCAGCTTAACTCTATTTTACTTTTGTTCTTTGTTACCAGTTTTAGTTATTCGCTCTTTGTCTTTGGAAGTTTCCCCAGTACAACAACCTGTGTCTCCTACTGTTCCCTTTCTTTCCAAAATGAAAACATCAGCTACAAAAGCTTTTCAGATCAATAGTGGCAAATTAAGCTCTTCCTATAGAAAAATGTATGATAAAAGACTTAATTAGGTTGGCCAAATAAATCTTGTTTAAAAGTGACAAGGAAACAAAGAATTTATGAGTACTGTGTATTTTACAGCCACATAAATCTGCTTGAACAACAGATGCTATTATCCAAGTACTTTAAAAATAATGAATCAGCCTTTGCCACAGAGCGAGGCTGGTTTGCATATGATATGTTCAATCACTGCTAGCAAAAGCTAAGCTAGGAAGGCCTGCTTCACCAGCGCCTTCACGCCAGTGGAGCGGCTCCGTGACTCAGAAGGCTACAAATCTGGAGGAGATCTGTGGCTTAGTTTGTTTTTTCTGCAGGGTTCAACATCCTTCACTTACCTCTCCATCTTTGGATTCCAGCCTGAGCTCTGTCCTGCACGTGGCTTTCAAGCTGCCGGCCTCGGCATTGATCTCGATGCCTTTTGGAGCCTCCATCACCAGTGCGCGCGTAGGTGACTCCAGTCTGTAACAGAAAAGGCATTTAGAAAGCTTGGTGGGTTGAACATTCATGCTTCATCTCAGGCTGTCGTCCTGCCCATCCTGACTGCCCATTCCACGGCACTTTAGGACCTGCTGATGTTCAGATCGACACCTGGTTTAGTCAGTGGAAAGAATTCATGCACAATGTGGTAACACACATCACAAATCCAATCATCTGCTAACATTGCACATCATGGAACAAGATGCAAGGTGCAAGAGCTCCCCCCATGAACAACTTACTTGTATGCAAGATGTGAGGTTTGGAAGGGTTTAAGGGCATATGGAAATCAATGAAAAAAAAAAAAAAAAGGCTGAAGAGCCCAAAATTCCTGATCTCCGCCCCTATGCTCACATTCCACTGCTCACAGCCAGGTCCCCCTGTGCAGTGCTTCAACCCCTCCGGACCGCGGATACGCCACACAGGGATCTGACAACCCTGGTACAGCGCTGGCTAACACAACCAAACCTTTCAGTTCAGGCAGTTGGGGTGAATGCTGTAAGACGCAGAAGCACAAGGTTCAATCTTCCTTGCCGATTATCTATTCATAAGTCTTGTATTAAACTTGTCTCTTCTTTATAATACAGAGTCTGATTATTTTCTGTATTGAAAATGATAACAAAAACTAATTCTCCCTCTTTGGGAAAATCCTCTTAGTTGATTTTATCACCATTTATTTACTGCACTATCACAAAATCTAGACTATGATCTCCCCAGGTGGAGCAGGCAGGTGGACTGGAACAGAAACTCCTCTGCTTTAGGCAGGCAGCACTGGCAAAACCGAAGCACGGGGGCACCACAGAAGCACTGAGCTTACTTGGGCAGCTTTTAGGATTTGCTTGCATTACTGCAGTGGCACTTCAGCTGTTTCTCTTCTCTTCATATATAATCATTTGTGCAAGTAAGTGTATTCTTAAATGGACTCCTGCTGGTACTGAGACAACATTACGGGAGACTGAGGGAATTCGGCTGTATTTATTGCAGCCAACAGTTCAATAAAGCAAAGGCACAGTTCCCTCTGTGTGGCACTTTTCAAGTTATGACTTTCCCTCTTGTTGGTGTCTTCATATTGCTGCTTTTTAAACACCTTTCCCTCAAGACCCCAAACTCATCCGTAATTTCCTGGCTGACTCAACTAAACCTGAATTTCAGAGATCTGAGGCAGACGCAGCCCAAGGAATGAGCATGGTCTCATGGTTAGCAGCCTCTGCACAATCTGAGCTGCTTTTTGTTTGCTCTCTGCAGGGAAGCTACAGCTTACATAAAACTTCTTCTGATCCCTCCACTGGTATCACCCCTTGGCTGGTTCCTGTACGAGGAACCGAAGGTTAAGACTGCTGCTACTCACTTTTTTCCCCCCCCCTGATTGAATTGCAGATTGCATGGAGGAGAAAAAGGTTGCAAAGAATGATTGACGTTAAATAGTGCTACCTGGGATATGATTCCCTCTGACCCTCCAATTGCAATAACTGCCTTTCCAATATCTGTTAGAATTTCTTTGTGGTAAAAATAGCCACAGCACACAGCCTTAGGGCTCTGGCACACACACTCTGGTGGCTTTCATTACAGGGGCTTAACATGCCGCCTGCCCCACATTTTCCCTGGAGATTTCTGCCCAGGGATACAGTGCGCTCTCATCCTTGGTCATGTAGCTCAGAAGCTGGTAGCTACCCCAAAAAATGAAGAACACTCTGCTTGCACTAAGCCCCCAGGATCCGAGCTGCAGTGGCTGGGATGCAGGCACATATTCCCTCCTGCTGCCTATGCTCCAGAGGCAAGATCCTCCGGAGGAGAAGCAGAGAGCTGAGGCCAGTAATGGTTTAAGTCACTGTAGCTAAATTCACCAGAGGATGTGTCCAAACCCCAAGACAGCTGAGCTAATCTGAGGATAAAATAATTCCTAAGAACCATGGCCAGGTGACTCTTCAGCTCTCCGACATCTTAGTGACTCTTCAATTTCTTTGATGTCTTGGCTGTCTCAATATATTTGTTCATCTGTTAATCTTGTAGCTCTTCTGCCCACTGAGAAATAAATCTTGTAAGTGCAAAACAGTGTTCAGACGCCACAGTGCAAATGCACTTATATGCAGCAGCTCTCAATTCCTGCCCTGTACCAGAGCAGCCTCCCAGTCCTACACCAGGGCTTTACTGGAGAGTGCGGAGAGCTGGGAAATCGGCAAATGTCTTCCCATGCTGGGGAGGATCAAGAGAGACCTTCCCCTTGCGTATCTTCCCCTGTGCACACAGGTCCCCATAACATCAAAGTGAGTTAAATTCATGCTCTGAACAAGCTACCAAGTACCTGGGAGTCTATCAGATAACATTGCCCCAAAGTTTTATTCTCTTTTCATACCTAACAAAGTGACTGAGTTGTTCTCCCTTCTCCACCCAATGAAAACCTACAGGCAGGATAATAGCACCTTACAAACACTGATGAAAACCCATGCAATTAGACACATCCTAACCCCTATAGGGGTTCTTGGAGGCACAAATGCCCCTCTGGAGCACCTCCCGATAGTCCATGGTGTAAGGTGGGACAAGCGCACAACGCTGGGGCTTTGCTGCTGCCCCATAAGCCGCGCCGTGCCCTGCAGCACCACCTGTGTTTTTTAAAGAGCTGAGCTGACCCCCACTCTGTCATCCTAAATGACTAGCTGCAATCTTGCCGACATGCTGAATTAACCCAAACCCACTCCTTTAATGTTAAAAATATAATTTTGAAGCCCAGTTTGGGGTTTTTTTTAGAACCTTAAAAATATGGAAATGAGTGCAAGTACTATAACAGCAAAGTGTAACTCTTCCAATGATGAGAAACTTGGGCTTGCAGCCCACATGGTTTTGTACTTGTGCTGTGGGTTTGGAGTCTGACTCTTCTCTCTCTTACATGTTCAATATTGGTCTAATTCCATCTGTTTGCATGGGACTTTTGTCCCAATTTATGCTACTGCAAATGAGGACAAAAAGGTCTTAATAAAATTTTCCTCGGCATTTGAGGGGCATATGATTGTAAGGGGTTTAATTTGATTATTTTCTGATATTCTGAATGAATCCCTGAGACACCCGTCTTCAAACCAGGAGCCGAGAAATCTACGCAAAGAAATCAGTTGAGGACTTTATGCTCTAGGGGGTGTGAGTAATGTTTACCGAACACTTTCATTTGAAGTAAGTGTTTAAGAGACACTCTGCTTTTAAACCTAATTCTGTCTTCCAGAGAAGAACCAATTCGGAGACTAATAATGAAAGAAAATGATTTAGCGATGAACAGATAATTTGTTCAAAATCAACATTTGTTTTCCAGTGTGATACTCTGGAGCTTTCAGTAGGATTCACATCTCCCAGTTAGGTGTAAGCCTGTACTTACAGCAGTAGGCTGGAAAGGTGGCTGCATGAATATAGATTGTTTCATTATTTGCTCCTGCTCTTGAATTTTCCATCCCAGCAATTGGCACATAAACCCTTTTTATTGACCATGGGTGCTGTTTATTTTTGCTCCAGTATTTCCAGGACTGGATTCTGACCCCTCTATCAGAGCTCTGCAAGACGGGTGGGCACTATCCACAGAGTTACAGCTTGCTGAATTCAGGACCGAGATAAACTACTCCCTCCCACTGCCCTAAAATTGCTCCCATCCCACCTACAGCCTACTAATAGGCCGATGAAGAGACAGTCTGGGTGACTACCCACACCACAGGAACCTCTCCTACAGGTCCCAGGGTGTCAGGTAAGCCCAACATTTTAAAAGAAAAGACACAAGTTACAGGATTTTCAGAACTATCAATGTACCCAGGTTCCACTTATTACAACGAGCGTTAGGTACTTTTGAAAATCCCATTGAGCACCTAAATGCCATAACAAATCTGACCCTTAATCTCAGTTCTTAGTTCTGCAACAGAGATAATAGCACTTCCCAACTCCACAGGGAGGATGAAAAGATAAATATATTAGTGGTTGTGAAGCGGTTACATACTGTAATAAGTGAGGGCAGGTAAGTACCATAGCCAAAGATAGACGGCTGGCAGACAGATAACTGATCTTTCCAAAGCTGCAATATTAGGCTCTTACCTTCATCAAAAATACTGTTAGTCTTGTTCCTCCCACTGAGCACACTCAGCCTGCATAGCAATGGGCAAGATGATGTATGCAGGGGAAGCCTTTCTCCAGCTCACCATGCTTAAAGGCCAGTGTTAAATGTGTCTCTTAAGCTCTTTTACTCAAACCTATCACCGAAGCATCTCACATTTTAAAGGGAGCTGAGTGAACCTCTCTCCTGCTATTGCTGGAAATTCTATGCTCCTGGGAATCAACAGGAGAGCACAATTTTCAGTGCCATCCCTGCTTTGCTTTGAAAACTTCAGCAATAATTTAAAGGAGGGCAGCGCATGAGTTTGTGTTGTGGTTCCAGTGAAAGTCATTCTCTTGGAAAGATCATTACTTACCCAGAGTTCTAGTTTTCATTTCCTTCATCATAAACAGTCAGATTAATCATTCCAGCAGTATGGATTATATTTCCTTCTTGTCCCTCTCCTCTCCTCTCCTCACCCCCTCCAGGATAATGCATCGTTTTCCTTACTACTATGAACAGCCTTTTGAATTTGGGGAGAAGAGAGGATATTACCGATGTGAAGGCAGTAGCACCAGCAGCTAGGGGCTGCTGACATACTTCCAATGAAGTGGACGTAATTTCCTTAAAGTTTAATTCAAATAGTTCAGGGGGAAAAATACTCACCCAGGTCTAGCATTGATGCAAACTGGGCTGGGCAAACACACGCTGATCCCTTGCAGCCCATCAGCCCACAGAGAAAGACCAGGAGGGAAGTGATGTTATCTGTACCTCCATAGGGAAGGGCTGGTACCAAAGGCTGCAGCACCATAAAGGGATGATCCTCAACATGTGAAAGGAGTTAACGTGAGCTGAGGACCTACTGCTGCCAGTTTTCTTTTTTTTTTAAACAAGAAATGGCCCCGGGCTTCAGAATTTCTTGTCC